AAAGCATTTTCTTCTCCGCTTTTGGCTGCTTTGTTGGCTTATTCTGTTCAGTCCAGTTACGGTCGATAAACCTCTCAGGATAGCCATTTTCTAGTAAGGTTCTCCTCACTAGTTCAAGTTCGTCCTTCAAAGTATCTTCTGAACAGATGCGCCTTGCTCTCTGCACCAGACTGCGTATGAGGTTACGTTTTCGATAGAGTGGGATGAAGCTATGAATATTTGTGTACTGTCCACTCCATGTTGCTTTGCGAAATATCTTTCTTTGGATAGAGCCGTTGGGGCGCCTGGTCAGATGAACATCCAAAAAAGGAAGGCAGTCGTTCTCCTCTGGTTCAGTTGTGAACTTAATTGATGAATGTGCGTTATTAAATTCTGACTCCACTTGAGCAAGATTAATGTTCCTGTTATACACAAAAAAGATATCATCCACGTATCATATCATCATCATATCATCCACGGTGATATTGTTCAAAAGATCTAATGGCTGTAGACAAAGAAGTTATTCTCTAGCTTGGCCATGAAGATGTCCGCGAGAACAGGTCCGAGGGGTGAAGCCATAGCAACGCCATCGACTTGGCGGTAGAACGTATTATTAAACAAAAATTGCACATTTCGTGTGCATTCAAGTATCAGTTCTTTAAGGGTTGTGACAGGAATCCCCACGGATATCATTTCAGTGTTTAAAAATTCACAGATGAAATCAACCGTTTCAAACAGAGGAACATTTGTAAAGAGAGAAACAACATCCAAAGAGAACAACAGTCGGTTTTTAATATTCACATTGTTGGTTATTTCAACTAACTGAAAAGTATCTCTTGGGTTCATTGCCGAACACATTAGTCATTCACCTTTTTGTTTTTGTTTTATTTGACCTTATCGAACTTGTTTCATATAAATGTGATTGCAAAGGCTTGAAAAGGAATTCACCGAAAACATATGTTCGCCTACCCTGTGTTCACAGAGGAATGAATTAAGACATTTCGCAAAACCTCAGGTTTCAAAAAACATCACGTGTTGCTAGCCATTCAGTAGCAGACCTATGATCATTCAATGCGATAAGCAGAACAGAGAACACTAAAACCGCGTCGTTAATCTCAGGTAGGACAAAAGGTGTTTGCTTAAAATCACAAGCTCTTGGATTGAAAAATAGAACAGTAACTAACCTATAGAAGTGATACATTGATTTTCAATGAAATTGTATCAAGGTACACGTGATTTCTATATGTTCCTGTGGTGAAAAAACAGCACTAAGTCCAGTTCGGTTTCACATAAAATCATCAAAGCATTTTCGACTTATGTGTTAGGCACCTGCTAGTTGTTACCGTTATTGCGTTTCACCGAACATGGACCACAAATGACCTGTTTCGCAGTAGAGCTTAGTTGATAAAGTTAAATTAATTTTTAATGAATATTTTTTCTTTGTTTTTCGGTAAGAAAAATGTTTCGCAATTGCTAAATCATACATATATATATACATATATATATATATATGTATAAAATCTTGAATCGTTGGTGCGTTGTCGCCGAGTAAGGTAATGCCATTCGAATACTCTCTGTCTCCAGGAAGAAGCTCGACACCATCGTTCGTTACATTATGTAACGCGTATTGTATATCATCATTTATGGTGAAGTTGAAGAGAGACGGAGAGGGCGCAACTCATTTGTACCAAACTGGCGACAGGAAATGAGGATGAAAGTTATCTATAAGACCTAATCTTCCCAGAGGTCTGGCAGTAGAGTGCTTTGAGAAGTATAACGTACATCTCGGGTACTCCGAATCTCCACAAACAGTTCCACAGTGCAGGGAGATTGGTGGAGTCGAAGGCCTCTCTGATGTCCAAAAACACGACGGCCGTTTGTCATCTGCATGCGTTGTACGCGGGGTTGTTATTTATTCGACTGCAATTGGATATCAGTATGATGAGCACATTTTTTAATCGCTTTACTCAGATTGCGAAATTATAACTAATCCATCTCATTTGCTTATTGTTTAGATCGTACAAGTCACGTGTACCGTGAAATAAAGAATAAGTAAGCGTTCAGATACCACTTTCATAGTAATCATCTTGAACCTCTGGAGGTTAACAGGGTATGTGGAGTGACAGGGAAAAAAGGCAATCATTTTTGGAGACAGGCCTCTGTCCAATGGGGGTATATCCAAGCTTTTGGGCTTTATGGGGTTATTTTATCGTCAGCTGTGGATTTGAGAAGCTCATCCGCGGTCAGATCAAGAGTAACTGAGCTGCTTAAAAGCCGCTCACCTGCAGTTCAAAGGTTGGAGGGACACCCTCGAATAACAAGAATTTTAGGTTATAGGGACGTCATTTTTCATCGCATTTCTATGACACTTTCATGGATAACTGAGTTCAGCTAAAATATAGAGGAAGACAGTATAGTAGAACGTGGACCACCCGATCCCACATTCAGTTTAAGTGGTACGGTTATGGAACCATTTCTGGTTCATCGTCTGCAACTACTTTGCCATAAATGTTACACATGAAAAGCTGATATCCGAGATATCTAGAAAGTAGACTCATCTGTTTGGAGATGACCAAAAATCAGAAAAAAGGAAACATTCTGCTTTCAAAGGATGCGTTTTCCTGTTTCAAGAA